CCCGCCACTCAGCTGGAGGAGGACATCGCAGCCAAGGAGAAGCTGCTGCGGGCGTCGGAGGACGAGCGGGACCGGGTGCTGGAGGAGCTGCACAAGGCGGAGGACAGCCTCCTGGCTGCCGACGAGGCCGCCGCCAAGGTACCCGGGGCGCGCGGCACGGCGCAGTGCACGAATGGCTAACTGTCTTTCTTTCTCTCTCCTTCCCTGTTTCTCCTTGTCTCTCTCTCCTGCTGTCCCTGTCCTGTGTTCTGTGCACCCACACACCCCCGCCCTGCGGGATCACGCTGCCTGCTGCACCCCACCCCCCCCCCTCTTCCCCATACCCCCCGGCCAACTCCCCGCTGGAATCAGCTGGCTCGCGGCACGGCGCAGTGCACGAATGGCTAACTGTCTTTCTTTCTCTCTCCTTCCCTGTTTCTCCTTGTCTCTCTCTCCTGCTGTCCCTGTCCTGTGTTCTGTGCACCCACACACCCCCGCCCTGCGGGATCACGCTGCCTGCTGCACCCCACCCCCTCCCCTCTTCCCCATACCCCACGGCCAACTCCCAGCTGGAAGATGAGCTGGTGTCGCTGCAAAAGAAACTCAAGGGCACCGAAGATGAACTGGACAAATACTCCGAGGCTCTCAAAGATGCCCAGGAGAAACTGGAGCTTGCGGAGAAAAAGGCCACTGATGTAAGTGCTCGCTCACCACGCCTCGCTCACCTCCTGCCCGCGTGGCCGGTCCCCAAGGGGACACCACTGGAGGAGGGCACCAGCACGCAGCCGCCCCGGCCCAGAGCACTGGATGCGCCTCTGACTGCTGCTGCACACTTCGTTTATAGTACATCCGTTCCTCTTTCTGCTTTTCTCCTCTTCTTTACCCGGTGGGGTGGAGGTGGGTGGGTAAGAAGCTGGGAGAAAAGAGCAGCCGAAATTCAACTCTGGAGGTGCACCTTGCCTCCTAGTGGCAGAAAAGCCCAAAGGTGTGTGTCATCGTCGCCAAGGTTTGTGCAAACATAGAATGCGTAGTTTTCTTGACTTGCTTTCTTCTTGCATCCCCATGGGTGGGATGATCTGGTTTTTGGTGGTGGATCTAGTCATCACAGTACTTCTTTAAAAGCTCAGCTTGAGAGGGTGGCACAGGGACCCTTTGAGGCTTCCTTTCTCACCAGGGAAGCTTTAATCCAGCCCTTAAGATCTCCCTGGGAAGATGATACTTGCTTGGGTCGGCAGTCTGAGGGCATTAGCTCCAAAGTAAGCAGGGAGTTATATATAGCTCAGTGCTTTATACGGTATAGTGAGTGAGTGGCCCCTGCCCCTCCTGCTTGCCCCACCCCCACCTGTCAGCTCTCTGACAACCACACATACTTTTAGGGGTGATGCAGACAGGGCTGAAGCTCTAGAAGTACTTTGTGCACTGCCCCTTGGAATCTTTAACTGTAGAGCCTGCCTCTTCTGCCTCAGAAAGTCAGGCCAAGGGTCAGATTTCTTAAGGACCGACTTTTTTTTTCACAGCGTTGAATTCCATTCTAGAAGCTAATTAAGCCTAGAGGCCCAATTAGAAAAGAATTCCTTGGGAAGCTGGTAACAATTCCAAGAATGTATGAACACCAGGGTAAGCTATGCCCAGAAGTTGAACCCCTAGGGCAGTAGCAGAAAAAAATTTGTGTGAGTAAAATGCAAAATCCTGAAGGCTCTCAGTCTTGAGATCAGTATAGGCTTTTTGTAGTATGAAAAGCTTGAAATGGTTTTCCTCATGTGGTTTGTAAATGAAAGATACAAACATTCATCACTTAGAATCCCGGGGGTTGGATGAGCACGGATTTAGCTGGACCATGTACGTTATAAGCTACCTGGCTTTAGAAAAAAAGAGCACCCCCCCACCCCAATACACACATAACTCTGAGCCTACTTTGAATAATGCCGATCAGATGTCTGCTCTGTGAGGATGTCTATCTCCCCCAAATGCTCCAGCAGGATGCTTATTTTGCTTTTTCAAAAGAGCTGCTCATAGATCAAGGGGAGATATTCCTTATAAGGAAAAGAATGCAGAGAATTTGAAAATAGCCCAGTAAGACTGAAGGCAAGGAGAAAAATGCTACTACAATTCTTAAGGGAAAAAGATGATAATTGTAACTATGTAGCACTATCATGTCTTTATTGACAACTCTTTTCTAAGGGGGCCTTTGAGGTGGGGCAGAAATGGAAAAGAGGCTATTTAAAGTCGACTGTGGGGCGGGGCCAGCAGGGGAGGGAGTTTCTTGAATCTCTTTGGTTCTGTTTATCCACTGGAAAACACCCTAAATAAAGGGGATATATATGTGTGTGCATATATATATGTGTGTATAGATACATATATAAATTATTTTACTGTATTGCCCTTTAAGACACAGTAAGTGGTTTGAAGACTGTGGGGATGTTGAAGGAGTTTGTGAAAAAATGTTGAGTAGAGGGATCCCTAAACTAGTAGAAACTGTGAAGATTTGAGGAGGAAGAAACATGTCACTAAAGGAGAGGTAGAGAAGTTGGCTTCCTTCCTCTCATTACTCCGAAGTGTAAAAGTTTTTATATTTTTTATTACTTCTACTAAAAACATTTTTCTAATTTACCAACATACTTCACAAATCCTATTCCAGCAGTGGGTTTTTCCTAGTTTAAAAGGTTATCTCACTCAGGAGGTAGCGTCTCTGGTGATTTCCTTTTGAAATTGTACTGGCTTTCCACCTCACGGAGGAGGGGCGGCTGCGTTGCCGCTGGCCCCAGCCCCTTCCCCAATGGTTGTGATGGACCTGATATTTGCACTGCTTGAGTCTCTATCCTCTGGGTCTTTACTTCCTAAATTAGCCATTCTCAACTTTCAATCAACATAGTCACTAAGAGGGATTTAAAAACTTAGATCAGGCTGCGCTCCAGCCCAATTAAATTAAAATCTTTGGGACTGAAACCCAGGCGGTAGCTTTTTTTTTTTTTATAACCAGGTGATGCCAACCTGCAGCTAAGCTTGCGAATCAGTGTCCTAAACTGTTGTGTAAAAAACATTAGCATGAAAATGAACTCACCTGAAGCCGAGTTCGCAGGTGTTTCAAAGGCAGGACATTAGGTCACTAATTGGCTGTCTTACCGTGCTTGGAGTGATTGTCTGGCTGCGCCTGGAGTTTTTCCCCTGCTGGCTGTGAGGCTCAGCTCTGCGCTCTTAGGGGAGGAGCTCCTGGAAACAGGGCGAGCGGCGCCCTCTGCAGGCGGCTGGGGCCCATGCTGGCTTTGAGGGCGGTATGGGCCGAAGGTTCCCTTTCTCCAGGGAAAGTGAGCAGGGAGGCTCCAGGTTAGGGCTCCGGAGGAGTGTCTTGGCGGGAATGTTTTTGTTTTTCGTTTTTCCCACGTTTAACACATCAAGAAGCAGACTTGAAAGGGCTCTGTGTAACAAAGGTGAGGGGTAAAATGCCTTGCACCTTGGATGCCTTAACGCAGCTCAAGGAGGCAATAGGCAGAGATTGCGTCCCCTGGGGTTTTCCAGCTGGTGGCCAGAAGTTCTACAGGGTGGGCCCTGCCTTGGGGCGCCTTTTAAACGCATCCCAGACCTTCCAAAACCAGGGAAGGTTGTAACCAGAAGGGACCTTAGGTTTCGTAGCTGGTGACGGGCCCAGCCTGACTTAGAGCCATGCCTAGGTGTTCATTAACAGTAGCTGTGAAAAGTACTTTGTAATCATTATTTCATAATTCTCTTAACAGCCCTGAGAATAACTCTAGTCTGTTACACTCATTTCTACAACAAAGTGCAGAAAAGTCGATTGTTATTTGTCCGAAGCCCCACAGCCAGGTAGGGAGCTGGGAACCCGATTCCAGCCTCGTAAGACTGCGGAGGGCAGGAGGTCTAACCGCTAAGCTTTGTATGTTAGTGGTTTTCACTTCGTGAGATTGCAGGGTTCTGGGTAGGATCCTGTGTTCCGGGGTTCTTCATAGCGAGGCCCTAGCGCTTAGGTCCCTGAGTTCGGGCTCCCGTCCCCTCCCTCAGCTTCATTCACTCTCTGTCTAGGCGTGGGAATCGGGGTTTCCGAGCAAGCGCTCCCGTGGCCAGCAGGCGTCGCCGTAGCCCTTAGCATCCAGGCCCCGTTACCCAGGGTGCCGGGGTGGGGGAGGCGGTTGGGAGTCCGGTGAAATCCCCACGCTGTGGCTCTCGG